CACATAGTGAACATGTTTGGGTTTTTTTTGCAAAAGGCACATATTGATTGCATGGTCTCAGAAGTGCTCAGCTGTGTAATGACCGAGTAGGAGTGTTCTCTGACCCTGGAATGTAAATTGCAGCTTAGAACATTCCAAAACCTGATTTATGTTCAAAACCATGTCCCTGCTCTTCTCTCCATCTTGTCTCCAGCAGCTTTTTGGTTGCTATTGGAATTCCTAAATAGAGTTGGGTTCATACCACAAACTTCCTCATGATTACTGGCTGAGTCAGAAGGCTTGGTTGCTGCATTGTAAAGATTGAGAAATATAGGCTAGAAATACAGATTAATGCATTCGGAAAATGGGTTGTATAGATACAGATGTTTGCTTGACATTTATTTTTAATATTTGAAGAGAGTAAATTCTGTGATCTGGTGCACTGGACATGCACAATCTCTAAGAAATCATGAAATGCTTAAGAATTTGCATCTAAAGAACACCAGTATGTGCTGAGGCCTGAGCAGCAGGCCCAAGCCAGGGCTGGTTTACAATCCTGGGCACTGTGTGACCAACACCATCAGTATTACTCACCTAAAAATAGATGACCAAGACACTTATGCCACCAGTTTAACACCAAACGGGCTGCTTTACAAACTTTCCCATAATCTTGTGTACTTATCTGCAAGAAATGTATAATTTTAAGAAACTTTCCCCACTGACATTAATAGAAGTTTGTTTGTATGATATTTTAGGGAAAACCCACCCAGCCGAGGCCTGGGCTCTGGCCATCAGTCCCAGGTGTTTCTGCGCTAAAAATGTAAACAGATCTCTTTGACTGGCTGATTTGGGCTGATAAAAACTGGACTCCCTTTCAGGGTGAATTCGGAAGCCTCACCTATGGGTGGATGCATCATGTAGGATTTTCCCAATTCACAGGAAGAGTTCTCCAGGTCCTCTCCGCGAAATGGGGCTCACCAGCAATTGCAATTGTGGGTTCTGGATGATGATATTTATTTTATTGGTGACATCTTTCTCAATTTCTGTTCTCTTTCTTGTATAGAAATGATTAAGTGCATTACTTGCTTATTTTCACTTGTTGTTAAAGCAGAGTTGTAAGCTTATTGTCTCATTAAATGTATAGTTTTATTGTGTTGCCTTACTATTCACAGTAAAATGAGCTCATTCTCTCCATTGGTGTCTGTGTCCTTTAAGTTGCCCTGTCAATTGGCAAAACGGTTCTGCATGAATCTGAAAGAATTGATTCTTATCTCTGCATCGTCTCTTTTCGTTCTTTTCAGAAGAACTCACGTCTCCTCGCTCTTTGCAGAACTAGGTGCTAACTGGCTTTGTGCATTTTCACAGATAAAGCAGCCAGGTGATGTACACAATTACCATGCTGGAAACAGGCACGTAATGGCAGACCTTGAGTTGTGCCATGCTTTGTCCCACGATAGTAAAGGTAAGAGGGATGAGAATTGGGACCAGAATCTGAACACCCTTACCGCAGACACACATATATATGTATGTATTTATCATATGTTTGTATCACTCCACTCGTCCTGTTAACCCTCCCTTCTTCCCCTGCTCCATCATATGGAAAAATATGTGAATATAAGAAACCCCATCAACAATCTTCTCTTTGGCCACTAGGAAATAGTCCCAGTTAGGGAGATTAATCTCCTGATGAGGTACCGGTTGTGTATCATTCCATATCCAAGAGAGGAATCTGGCTGCTCTCTGGAGAGACAATGTTTCTGATCTCCGATTTTACAGACCTTTTGGCTACATGGTGGTAGCAGGTCACAAGAAATCTTTTGTCCCAGAGAGACCCCCCAGGCTTACCAGTTAGAATTATATTGTATGAAGTGAGATGTATGCATCAACTCCTGCTGCTTCTCAAGGTAGGTTTTTGAATTCTGAACCTGACACATGGCCACACATTTCTGTTCCTACTGCTGGCTTTGAATATTAAACAGATCAGAAAGACAGAAAGATTTTGTCAGTAATCCTGACAGCCTGTAGCTTTATGTCAATAAATTTCACTGCAGTGATTTAGTTGAGGTAGTATCATCCTTCATTTCTGAAGATTGGTGTTCTTAATGAGCAAATATCTGCCTACTGTAAGCAAGTACTAGGTGAGGAGTGAGGAAACATGACCATGGGTCGATTTTTTTTTTTCCACTCTCCAAATAGTATTTGTGGGGAGGAAAAAAAAAGATTGTAAATTGCAAAAATAGGGCATGAGGCACAGTAGCAGCAGTGATGTGAATCTGCTTTGAGACTGTTACAAATTTACTAGATGGAGTGGAAGATTTCCTTACCAAGAAATTTACTGAGGAACAACAAAAAAATCTGAAAATGGTATAAAAACTCAGTGTCAGGACTTTGGATAAGCACGATATGATTTGCTGTATGTGCAGTGCTCCAGTGCTGCTTCTTCACCTTAGAGGTATTAACTGCACGTATTAACTGCAGCATTGTGTTCACTGAAACCCCATTTACAATTAAATAACTAATATGCTTTGCCTGTTCTATTGTGAAATCACATTGGAAACAAGCGAAACCCCATTTACAAAGGGGTTTAATATTAAATAACTAATATGCTTTGCCTGTTCTATTGTGAAATCACATTGGAAACAAGACATTGCAGTTTATGTGGAAACTAAGACCAAACATGGGCAAAATCATCACCACTTTTCCCAGCTAATGCCTTGCCTTCAACCGAGATCGACAGATAAAATCTGGGTATTTCAGAACAATATGTTTTATCTTTATTTTCCAGTCTTTTAAAAAAAGAAAATTAGCACTTTGGAGAAGCTAAGGCAATGCCTCAGGGGCTGACCTTCAGGTGACTGTTTTGTCAACTGATACAGCAGCCCTGAGTTAGCAGGATGAATATTCAGGGGAACATTCCCACTGAATGCAAGCTAAGGCAGAGATGAGTTTGTCTTATTGTTTGTAAAATATGGGATTTTTATACTTCCTGTGTTTATGATTTTTGTTGTTTTTTTTTCCTTTATTGTGATTTTAAAACCCTTTAAATGAATCGAGTTTTTGCTTTTTTCTATTATATATCGATTATACAAATTTTAGTCTGAAGTTCCCGTGACTTGCATGACTTAAAACTAAATAACAAATATATTTGAAGAGGTAGTTTTAAATAATACAACAAAAGACATAACAAGACACTTCTATGCCTGATCTTCTCCATGAACCAATACAGAACCAGATGTGGAAAACTATATATTGGAAAGCAAAATCCTGAGGTCCACCTATGGCTTCAGGGCTCAATTTCAGTCTTACATCCACTGGCCAATGTGAACTTTCATTCAAAAATGCAGTTTTTTTTTTTACCAGACAAATTTCTGTAAAAAACATTATTTGGAACGTAAACTATTCAGTTCTACTAATATTTCAGTTTCATTGCAATTAAAAAAAAAAAGACATTGGAATAATTGTCTTATATAACAGCTACAAATAGCAATTGTCACCTGGTTTAATAATTGTAAACGAGAGAGTTTACCATGGAAAAGGAAATACCACTGAGATGCAAAAGTGATTGTAATTGGAGAAAAGCCTTAACGAAAAAAAAAAACTTCAGTATTTGATTACCTCAACTCTTTGAACTGAGCAGACAAAACACTCAAAAGATTTTCTGTTGGCATTGTGCAAAAAAGGTTTAGTTAAACCGGCGCGTTAAGTCAAAGTCACACAGTATCGACTATTCAGGAACAATTCTTTCCTCAACAAAGAGAAACGGCAAGTACGCTAACACCTCGTCTGCCACTGTATGTTCTAGCTAAGTGCTTAGTAATGATGAGAAAAGAATGCAGATCGTGTCTGCGCCTTCTACTGTATTGCTTCTAAGTGAATTAGAGACCTGAATGAACGGAGAACTCCCCATTTGCATGGAACCGCGGAAATATCTCCCATGGAAACCTGCAGTCCCGGGAAACTCCGGCAGTTTCCCTGCGACACAAACCAGTTCCATGGAAACGAATGGGGAATACTGGGGTGGAGAACACACAGAGATACCTGTTAAGGGAAGGAATCGCTGAAGATTCTCTTTTGATTTATTTTCAAGGATTTAAAATAAACTCGTGTGGACTGATACAACATTCAGCACAAATCGAAGCGTTTGGTGTGTTTGTTTTGGATTTTTTTTTTTTTTTTTGGGGGGGGGAAGGGGGTAACAGTGGAAATCAAATCCAAATTTTGAACACTTGAGTCCTGCTGGTGAATACTGGTCTTTGTACAAAATCCATTCAGTAAACGTTTCTCTCTCCATACAGGACTTCCCAAGGAGGTTCAGAGATTCCTGAAAGCCTTCAGGGATGAAGCTCTTTGAGGGAAGGTTTGAACGCCCAGACTTCTGCCCCGATTTCTGTGCAAATTCTTTTTGAACAAGACAACGTGGTTATGCAATGTATTTGCTTAAGTGTACAATAAAATCCGCAACTCCGTTGATTTTGATTCAAGGCGGAGTCCGCTTTACACCTTGGTTTAGATGAAATCTGTTTGACAGTCATTGCTGTCCTTTTCCTAGCCCTGAGTCTGAGGGGAGCTGATCTGGTGCACTCGATGATTCCAGGGTTACCGCATGGTTGCGGGAGACCGCGAGTTTGACTTTATGTGGCGTGGGTAATTTTTAAAGACACCAGTCAGCGTTTCGGGCCGATGATGTGGACCCGCACGGCAGACCCGCAGAGCTCCTGGACGGCTGGGGCTTTTCCAGCCAAACCCGTGCGCCCGCACAGGCTGCGGGCCCCGCCATGAGGGACCGAGCGGGGCCGCGCTGTGCCCGGCGGGCAACTCCAGTGCCGCCGTGAGGCCGAGAGGCGCTGAGGGCTTGTGGGGCGCCCGGCGATGCCGCCGCTGCCGTCCCGCCGGCGGGTCCCGACGGTGCCGGGTGTCACTCCTGTCCCGGCGGTGCCGGGTGCCGCTCCCCCTCACAGCCGTCCCCGTCCCGGGCGCTGCGGGCTCCGCCTCCCTCTTGTGACGCCGCCGGGTCCCGCGCGGCCACCGTCGTGTAAGATGGCGGCGGCGGAGAGCAGCGACAGCGAGGAGGAGGACTTGGTGAGCTATGGAAGCGCGCTGCAGCCCCTGCAGGAGGGTAAGGGACCCCGGGCGGTTCGTCTGCTCCCCTCCCTCCCGCTGTCAGTGCGAGCGCTGGGGAGCGGCCCCGCGTGAGGCGCTGCGGCCGGGGTGTCCCGCCGGGCCGCGCGGTGCGGTCGGGTCGCGGTGTGAGGCGTGTGGGCCCAGCAGAGCTGCCGCCCTGCCTCTGCTGCCTGGGGCCGCTCCGGGCAGCCGGGCTGTCCTGCGGGGGGGTCTGGCCCAGCGGAGCGGGGAATGAAAGGCCTCGGCACCACTGGGCCTTGCGGCTGTGGCTGCGGTTCCCCGCGGCTTGTGCCGGCTGCTCCGGGTGGAGCTGGTGCTGGTCTTTGCTTCTGTCCTCCCCACCCCCCAAAAAAACCCAGTGCAGTTCAGGGGTACACAGTGATGCTAATCTGACCGTCTGATGCTTATGTGGTTGAGATGGACAGGGCCAGGACTAACTTACCGTTGTGACTCCTGAATCTGTGCCATTTTATTCAATAAATATTGTTAAAAAGAGGTAAATGTTTGTGTGTTAGTCTATGGCTTTTGTGCTTGTTTCAGTTTATACACTTTTGATGTGTAATTTCTCAAGCAATTACTGAAGTGAAGAAATCCTGCCAGAGGTCTTGCATACTTTAAAAGTTTACTTTCACAAGAAGAAATCCTGTCATGTTCTCAGAAGTCAGTAGAATTAAGGATTTTGATGTGAACACTTCATGCTTTTCCTTTATCAGTGTTATTATGGATAGTTACAATGGAGTGGAAGTAAATAAAACATGGTGATTTCCATGTCAGGGTGGCTAGTGTTTGATCCTGTTCTTACTTGCCAGGAAGAACTGGCTTGCAGAGGAAGTGGGAAATAATTCCTTCATGTAAAGTAGTGTCTTACTTTCTGATTTATTTGATTGTAGGTGAACGAATTAAAAAGCCAGTTCCTCTCCAAGAGCAGACTGTTAAAGATGCCAAGGGACGGTACCAGCGTTTCCATGGTGCATTCACTGGCGGCTTTTCTGCTGGCTACTTTAACACTGTGGGTACAAAGGAAGGTATGTGCTTCCTTATACAGTGAACAGTTGAAATAGTATTGCTGAAGTTATTTCTTCTTGAGTTTTTGGACTGTAATTTTACAAATATTTCTTCGATGTATCCTTAAGATGTAAGGTTGAAATGTTTGAATTGTTGTTGAATACTGTGTTGACTGAAGTACCTTACTTAAATATTTACCTGCTTTAAAGGATGGACACCATCAGCTTTTGTATCATCACGGCAGAAGAGAGCAGGCAGAACGGTTCTTGGACCAGAAGACTTCATGGATGAAGAGGTAAATCTAGAAAGGAATTGAAAACTTGTGTAAATAGTTGCCATGACAGCTAAAATTGAAGTAACCTTGAAATTACTTCTTGTCTACAGTGTTATCCTACTAGGTTATACAGACTATTTCATGGGTTCATTTAAGAAGCTTCTGTGATGTCAGTATTAAAAAATAGAACCAGTCTTTTCACTTTATCAGAAAATGCAAATACTTTTGAAACCATTTAAGATATTTCCACTAAAGTTACTGCAAAAACAACTGCATAAGTGGTTGGAGAAAATTAGCAAATACAAAGGTCATATGCCATTTTCATACTTTATTATTACAGTAAAGAATTTGAAGAATGTTTAATCTAAATGTTCTCATTTTTGTGTGTATTTCCAGGATCTTAGTGAATTTGGGATAGCACCAAAAGATATTACAACTACAGATGATTTTGCATCTAAAGCTAAAGACAGAATAAAGGAGAAAGCTCGACAGATTGCAGGAGTAGTTGCTCCCATCCCAGGAACCACTGCATTTGATGATTTAATTGGACCATCTAAGTAAGTAAATTTACCTGAAAGTTTGCAAACCATTCGCTTCACTTAGAAGTGTTGTATTGCTTAGAAAAGTAATGTTTGACCACTGCAATTGTGAGACTGGAAGATCCTGCAGTGGATCTTCCTAAGTGGATTTCCTAAGTGGCCTCCACCTGGATTTTTGTTTTGAGTGTGCAGACTTGCACCGAGTAAACATTTCTAAACTGACAGGTAGTGTGTATGCAAATAGCAACACTTTCAGCTTTGATTTTAAAGCAGGATATAAAACTAGTTGAAATATGATATATGTACATGATTTATCAACAAATAATAAAGGTGTGGTCTGAAGTAATTTTGGGGTATGTTTCCTTTTTTTTTCTTTTTAGAATAACAGTAGGGGTTGAACTGTTACGAAAAATGGGCTGGAAAGAAGGACAAGGAATTGGACCACGAGTCAAAAGAAAGCCACGCAGACAGAAACCTGGTAAGTTCAGGGAAGTTCCTAATTTACTTCCTTGTTAGTAGAAAGTTAACTTTCATAGACTGATTGGAAAGTTGATGTTAAACCCTCTTTTTATTTTTATTAATGTAATATGGTGTTGTGCTGTCTCTTGCAGATCCTACAGTGAAGATTTATGGTTGTGCATTACCACCTGGACTCTCTGAGGGTTCTGAGGTACTGAACAGGGAAAGTGGTCTGTTGACTTATGTAAGAATATGTGATAACAGATTAAAAAAACAAAGCAACTTCTTTAATGTCCTTGAACAGTAATTTAAAATGCATTTTCAAATATTTTTAAAAGTGTTTATAAATACTTTCTATGCTTAATGTGAAGAAAGGTTTTAATATCTAAGTTTCTTGTTTTGCTACGTAAGAAGGTTTAGTTCATACACAATTCAGGAAATGCAAACTTGCCTAGGCTCATGTGAACTGAATGTTGTAAAAGCTCAACATACAGAACTTGTAGTCATTCTTGCTCTCATAAACTTTTATTTTTTACAAGGATGAAGAGGATGAATACCAGCCAGAAAATGTGACCTTTGCACCAAAAGATGTAATGCCTGTAGACTTGACTCCCAAAGAGAATGTCCATGGACTTGGCTATAAGGGTTTGGACCCCTCACAAGCCTTGTTTGGTGCATCTGGAAGAGAACACCTGAATCTTTTCACAGATAGTTCTGAGGAAACAAGCAATTTAATTGGTGATCTGAGACACAGTAAAGGAAGAAAACTGGGTATTACAGGTCAGGTAAGGACGTTTTTTAATGCATTTTATGATTAGTGTAGTAAAATCCACATAAATTTTGGTTTTGCTTAAGTTAAAAAAGCTCATAGTAATTTTAGTATCATTTTAAGAAATGTTAAGTGTGGCTTGAGAATAGGATTTTTTTAAAACTTATTTTGAAGATGTGGAAAAATCCTTAGAACTCTCAAATGCCATCACTTACTGAAATTGAAACTGTAAAAGACAACTCTACCTGACTCTGAGTAGCTGGATGGAAAAATGTTCTGTGTTACTTTGATTAGATAAAGTTAATATTCAGTATGTTTTTAGTTTTGTTTTTGTCTATTGTACTTTCAGTAATGCTGTATCTGTCAGCTAGAGAGGTTTTGTGTTGCTCCAGGGTATTTGTAGTTCTTATCTAGAAACACTGTCAGTTTATATTTTCTGGGAATTCTACTTGTTTAATTTCTCTGTTAACTGACATATTGATTTCCTTTTGAGACCTTAACCTGCTCTTAGATTGCACAGATGTTATTTTGGTGGAACTAGTCTGCTGTCCTTGTCTTGTACCCACCAAACTTGCTGTCCCTCCCTGCCAAGGAGTGGAATGTGATTGCTTTTGTTGCTTTTGTGCTCACTGAGGTGTGGGGTTTTTTCCACCTCAGTTTCTGTGGTGTGACTGTAATTTTTCCCAGTGTATCTATATTTGTACTGTAGACTTTATATAGATGAATAGATATCCATGTAGATGTGTTCTGATATGTGACTTAAAAGTTTTTCCACTTCTGAGTTCTCATTTAAAATATGTGTTTTAGGCTTTTGGTGTAGGAGCTTTAGAGGAAGAAGATGATGACATTTATGCAACTGACACACTGTCAAAATATGATACAGTTCTAAAGGATGAGGAGCCTGGGGATGGCTTGTATGGCTGGACAGCACCAAAACAGTATAAATCCAAAAAAAGTAAGAACTGTGATTCTCTTTAAAGAGTGAGTGTAATATGGGGGGAAAAAAAGGAAAGAATTGTACTCTGTATTTGCTATATATTGTAATTTTCAGCCTTGATATCTGAAAATTGAGCTAGTCCTACAACACTTCTGTATTGAAGTGTTCAATTACAGAAATAACTTCCAAAGTCTTCCACTAATCCCAGTGTGGATGGAAAGAAATGTAGTCTGTATTTGCTATATATTGTAATTCTCAGCCTTGATATCTGAAAATTCAACTAGTCCTACTTCTATATTGAAGCGTTCAATTACAGAAATAACTTCCAAAGTCTTCCACTAATCCCAGTGTGGATTAAACCCTCAAAGCATATTTTCAAAAGGAAAATAAGCTGCTTTGTGAGATACAGTTTCACTGAAGAAAACAAGTGATTGTGAATCACAGTTACAAAATATGGCCCAGCATTTAAAAAGATAACTTTTTTTAGATAAATTTCTGTATTTTCAGATAATTTTTGTACATAGTTTCTTGGCACTACTTTATTTTTACTGCACTGTGTAAGTGCACGAAATACTGTTGTAATGTCTGGAGTACCTGTTCATGCTGGTGGTACACATCCATGGCACTGATGGTGTTAGCTGTGCACGGTGTGGATACTGCTGCTTCCCTGTAAGGCATCTTCAACCTTCAGCAGTCACTCTGGCTGCAGTTTTTAGTTGTGTAATACTAATCCAGAATCAGAACCCTTAATTTTAAATGAAAGGTGGTGAAGACAAACAACAATTGTGACTCACAATAGACAGTGACATATGGAAAACATTCAGGAAAAAAATTGCCTAACATGCATGTTTTAAATACTATATTTGCAATCATTTTGTAGGGCCTGAAAGAGATTTTAAATATATTGGCAAAGTCCTGGCTGGTTTTTCCTTGGCATCAAAACCATCAGCTCCAGTCAAGGTAAGCAGATAGTGATATTTTGTGATTAGGAATAACATCATTCATCATGTGAATTGTGCAGACTCTACTGCTTCTCAGTGTTTTTCTGTTCTTAGAAATAAATGTTTTGGTCAGCAGCAAAAATTGCTGAAGGAACAAAATTAGAGCACTGGGGGCTGTTCAATGGAAACCTAAAATTGATCAGACTCCTGAAGGTATTTAAACTTTGCCTGGGTACTGGTTTGAACAGATGCCTTCCACACTATTCACTGCTACTTTGCATAAAGTTGGAGGAATGGTTTTAATTTAACTTGAAAAAAATATTACATATTTTGGTTCTAGATCTTTCATGTGTAACATTCAGTTTTCTGTAGAAAGCAGGCCTCGTGCTTTGTCCACTTTGCTATTTTGGTGACAATTCAATTTCTTAGTCCTGTCTTCAGTTTTACATAATTCATGCCATATATATTTGCATAAATTAGAATGACAGACAATTCTATGACAGTGTCCTCTTTCTGAGGAAGAATAATTGTGTGATATTTAAAATCCCATCCTATAGGGAGCACAGAGATAACCCTTTAAATAACAGCTTGAATGAAGAACGTGGAGAAAGATGTTAAAATATAGTAAGCATGCAAGTAGTCAGTAGTCCAACTGATTAAATCATTTGATTTCTGTTTAAAAATATAGCAAGTAATATTAAAAGGTGTTTTCTCAAAAGCAGTGCATCCTAAAACTTGTTCATTTTTCTGTCACTTAATGTGTACGTTTTCGTATTTTTTCATAGTTGTAAATATATTGTCGATATATTTGTTCCCAGAGTTTGTATTAGAATGCCATTTACTGGTCTATAGGAATTAGTAGTTTGTACTATCTGTTTCTACTGCTGAGATGTAAATTGAGGAATTCTGAGGTTGAGCTGACTCTCTCAAACACATGTGTAAATGTTGCATACAAAGTTCTCTCCCTCTCTCAGTGGGTTTTTGTTTTGTCACCCCTTTCCCCCCAGATTTATCCCCCACCTAGCCTGCCTCGAAACTACAGACCGGTCCATTACTTTCGACCTGTGCTGACAGCTGGGAATGAAAGCTGCCACTTACAGAAGGCACTGGAGGAGTCAACTGGGAAACTGGAGAATGAGCCAACACAGCAAAGCAGGCACACTTTGAATGCAGCTCAGAGGAGGGAGCAGCTAGGAGAGGTTGAGCTGAAAGGTAGCAAGATACGTGACCATGTCTTTGCTTGTGTTTCAGGCATGTTTGTATGTTTAGTTATAGAACAGTAAGAATTTGGTCTGGCCTTGAGTGCTTATTTTCTAACATAAATACATCCAATCTAGTTCCTATAGCTAGTTACATTGTTCAGTTTCATCTCAGCAGGTGAATTATTGATGTAACTGTCTGTATGCTCATTTACTTAAATATTTTAAAGACAAAAAGTGTGTGTTGGATTGTGTTTTGTTTGGGAGGGTTCCAGTCTTTTATGAATATAGTGGGCTGTGATAATTTTTTCTGTGAAATGTTTTACTGAAATACATTTAGATATACTAAGAAGATAGTTTGTAACTGTGGCTCACATTTGTATCTATGACAGTAAACTTTATCAAGTTACTAAGATAGTAAACTTTATCAAGTAAATAGCATAAAAGATGTAATAGTGGCCAAATTTTTATTTGCCATGTATGCCATTTTATTGTTAATTTCTGCTTAAGAGCATTTTATCTGAATTTATACATGTGGTAGGGATTTTCCTTCTACTAAAGTGGAAGAAATAGTTCTAGTGATTTTTCATTTCTCTTTGTCTTTTACTGCTTTTCTTCTGCTTTAGGTCCAGCTCCTTCTGTTTTGGAATATCTGTCTGAGAAAGATAGAGAAAGACTCAAACAAGTGAAGCAAGCATCTGAACAACAAATGAAAGCAAAACCAGTGTCTCAGCAGCCACCAAGTAGCAGATTGCAGTTGGCCTCCCCAGAAGATGCTGCTCACAAATGGCAGATGCTGCTGGGGGGGCAGTTAGCAAATGCTGGTTCTAGTGATTTCAAACCATTTGCAAAAAATCCAGAAAAACAAAAAAGATACGAAAATTTTGTGAAAAGTCTTAAGCAAGGAGAAAAAGGTAAAATATTTCTTCATTTTTTCCTTCCCCCACCGTTTTTTCCCCCAGTGCATTTTATATTGGCTTTGAGTTCTCTTCCTGAATTCCACAGCATTTCTCCTTTTACTTCTTTTCAGGACCAGTGTTAACAGAAATCTTTACTGATACTTAGTCCTGTTGATTTCAAGAGAGCTGCTCAGTTACTCAGTTGTCAGCAAGTCTTGATTTTAGGCATTACATTTCATACTTCTGTGATGTAGCAGAAGTTAAGTTCTACTTCATTTCCTGGATTTCCCTTATTTCATTTGCCAAGGTACACTTCAGCTTTGGTCAGTGGAACAAGCCTTTGAATTTAGTTTGTTTCTCTTTGAGGAGTAAGACTGACAGATCATATAAAGGCAGAAAGGTGATGGGTAACAGTAGAATCAGAAGAAACCCCATACCCTCTGCACCAGGGGAAGATAAGAACCCTAAAGTGAATGAAATATTCCACACTTGTCAAAGCTTCCATTGTGTGTCCTTTAGATACTCAGACTTCTGCTGTCCCTTATGTTCTGCTCAGAAAGATTTATGACTGTATAAACACAGCATCCTTCAGAGCTCGTACTCAAAACCAGAAAACATCCAACCTCCTTCATCTCTTTCCATGCTGTTTCAGTCTCCTTGCATTTTGTTTATGTACTCAAAACTAGAAAACATCCAACCTCCTTCATCATCTCTTTCCATGCTGTTTCAGTCTCCTTGCATTTTGTTTAGGTTTTTGCTATTAAATGGTACTAAATGATACTAATTAAATGTAGTGTGTCTTAGACTAAACCAGGTACTTGTGATGCCTTGTGGTGAGTTCTCCAGTACTGTGATTTTTCTGTAAGGCATGAAAAGCTGAAATTGATCAGCCCATGACTTTAAATTGCCTTGAAATGAACTTAAAAAAGGGTTGGGTTTTTTCCAAATTTTGAAGTACACAGGGGCTATTGGGTAAGGAGAAAATGTACTCCAGGGAATTTGAGGAAAGCAAGCATATGGTGACAGGTAGAAAACCTGGATTTGTTGTTCTAGTTGTGATTTGGGATTTTTTTGTTTTTTGTCTTTTAAGTCCTTTTCATTATATAAAATAAATATTCTCTGGTCAGTATCCTCTTCTGGTTACCTCATTGGGACAGACTACTTGAGCTTTGAATCCATAGTTTCTCTGTTCAGGACAGGGATTTCCCCTGGGTGGAGTATTCCCAATTATGACTGTATTATAACTGTAAGTGCCACCCTAGTCATTATGATGAAAATGTAGAAATGTATAACTGGAATGGTTAAAGGTCTGTTTTACTGTAAGTGTATTTGCCTGGCTGGTGTTGTGTTATTTCCTCTTCCTTTTGGGAGACAAACTGAACCTGTTGCTGTAAACCTGTGTGCAAACTCTGTATTTATCAGTGGGCACTTCATAGAGCAGAAAGCAAGTTACTAAAGTACAGCCAGGCTTAAATTCTCTTGTTCTGTGTTTTAGTTATTTGATAAAGCTTTGGGTTATACTTTTTGTTTTAATCACCTGTTAAATCCATTAAATATTTTGAACATTCTTTAAAGGGCAATGAGTAAGGAATCAGTTTTACAAGTAAAATTACTTAAAATATCAATTTTGTATTTGGCAAATGCTGTCATTCTTGCTGCCTTGAAAAAACACCTCAATTTATCAGGGATTAACACAGTTGAGATTAATACTGCCCTTAAGATAAATATTAAACCCTTGCAAGAACACTTGCTTATTACCTTATTTTTTTGTTGGAAAAGTGTTGATCCAAAGTAAGCTGCCATCTCTGCTAAGCATTCCTCTCCTCACCTTACAGGGGAAAGATTGGAGCGCTTTTTTGACCAGAGCATGACAGAGTGGGAGCGAGGCAGGGAGCAGGAGGAGTTCTTCCGAGCAGCAATGTTCTACAGGTCCTCCAGTTCCTCGCTGGCATCCCGATTCACCCGGGCCAAGTATGAGGATGATGTTGACAAAGTTGAAGTTCCTCGAGACCAAGAGGTATTTGCTGCCTGCAGTCTTTGAATACATGGGAGCTGCAGTTGTTGCCTTAGCCCTGACTTTATTTTTCTTTTAAGCACTTCTGAAGATATGTCCCTATTTTGTTGCCCTTTTGTTTAGCAGCTTTTGAAAACACTTGGTGCATACAAAGCAGTGATTCCTTAAACAGCATTTAAATATTGATGGATTTATCCTGTTCTTAAATCTTACAACAGTTCAGTAAGGTTTATTGAGTGTAAATTGTGCAATTTATTCTGTAAATTAATTCTGTAAATGAAGGAGTGTAAATTCTGCACATTGAAACTGTACATAAAATACATCATATCTCTCTTTAAAAAAATATTATTTATCATCTATAAATGTTTTGACTGTTTCAGAATGATATTGATGATAAGGAAACAGCTGTGAAGATGAAGATGTTTGGCAAACTCACAAGAGACAACTTTGAATGGCATCCTGATAAGTTGCTGTGTAAAAGATTTAATGTTCGTGATCCATATCCTGAGTAAGATAATTCATACTTATATTTTTAAAACTTTCTATAATTTCTGAGTTTTTCATTTGCTTGTGGAAAATCTGGGTCGATGGTTTCTTGTGTCATAAGGTAATACAGAACTGCCCAAAGTTTTTATTCATGTCACAAAATATGGTGACCTCTGGTGGAATAGCATGCATTTGAAGGACTACTGTAGGAGTTCAGGTTTTTGTAACTAATTTGAGGACTTTTCTGTGTTGAACACAATAATCAGCAAACAATTTTATTTCCCTCTAGTTCTTCTGTAGTGGGTTTGCCAAAAGTGAAACGAGACAAGTATTCTGTTTTTAATTTCTTAACTGTGCCTGAGCCCACCACATCTGGAACTCAAGCAACAAATGAAAAGATCCAAGAGAGTAACAGTCTCAACAGTAAGTTTGTTGTTACTTTATTAATTTAGCTATACACAAGATAATAGTACAGAAAAGGCATCTTTTTCATTGATAACTTAGCCACATGATTTTTTTGATTAAAAAAAACCCAAACAAAGGAATTGAAAATAAAAATTCAGTGACATAAAAACTGAAGTTAATGATAGAAAGCTAATTTCTTCTACCTAAAAGACATTTATAGGTCAAGTATTCATTAGAAAGCTTTAAAAAATGTCAAACTGAAGAAGCAGAGTAATTTAAAACTAAGTATACCATGAAATACAGAGCAATTTGGCATGCAGGTGATTTGAATATTTTGAATGTTTTAGAACCAAAGAAATCTTCAAGGTGGGATGTGTCAGATAAAGAGAAGGAGAAGAAAGATTCTATCAGTGAATTCATTAGTCTTGCTAGATCAAAAGCTGATGCTCAGCAGCAGCCACCAGTGCCAGCAAAAGAAGAATGTGGAACTGGGACAACTGAAACTCCTCCCACTGTGGTGAGTTTACAACAGGGTTTGAACTTAAAGGGGGCAGCTGTAAACCTTGACAGCCCAGAAATAGGATGGGTTAATGCATGAGTTGTTTATATAGGTTAATACTGTTTATATATGTTAGTATAAATTGTGAATATATGAATACAGATCAGTTTGCACAAGAGCCAACTCAGGATGAGCAAAGGCATGAGATGGCACTTTGAAGAACTTGGAGGTTACAACTCTGGGATGCAAGATCTTTGCAGCTTATCTCTGATTATACTTGAAGTAGGGCTTAAGAGAAGAAGAAATGTAGCCCAGTAGTCTGGGACTAAATTCAGTAGCTTTACCACCACTCTGCTCACAGGCACAGAATGTGTTTATCTCTCCTTTCCTTAGAAGAGAGTGCATATTTTGGGGAGAAAGGTGATGTTTTCCTTTTGCTTAAATTTGGTATTATATAACTGAAATTTCAATTAATGAATTAGAATTTATAATATCTGGGGATCTGTTTTCACAAACTGCACTACTCTGTATAGGACACTGGCTTAGTTCCTCAGCATTTCAAGGCTGTACTCTTTGGGTCTAAGATTGTTTATTTCACAGCTATTGTGCCATCCAAATGTTTTGTAAACACCTGTCAGCATGCCTGAAGTTATTCCTTATCAGAGAGACATTGTTGGTTTCTTTAGTGCTTAAATCCAGTTTGTTGTGATGCTGTTTAGCAGGTAGCTGATGAGGATAAGAATCAGGAGGAAGAAAGCAGACGACCACCCATGGACTTATTTAAGGCCATCTTTGTGAGCTCCTCAGATGAAAAATCATCTTCCTCTGAAGAAGAGAGTGATGAAGAAGAGCAACCAGCTACTTCAGAAAGACAGTCAGAAACCACCAAGCAAGTTGATGCAGCAGACAGTTCTTCCTCTAACTTACAAGGTAGTACTTACTGGAGTTCATTTTTGTGCAACTTAAAATAAATAACTTGTAAAAGTTCCATTTTTGAATCACGCATTCTTGGACTGTTAGGACAGTGCTGATCAGTGCAGATCATGTGAGATTGGCAGAGCTGGTTGTGTAGAAAATGCAAACAATACAGCACTGAATAAGGCCTTGCATGTTACAGTGTTACCAGCATTGCCATGTACCTTTGGTGTGGAGTTTACAAGCAAACTGCTGTATGGAATATGCCTGTTACACAGTGAGGGGGAGCAAAACATCTAGTGTGAGATCATACTTAAAATGAAAATACTTTGTCCACTTACTGTCACAGTTGGTTCTATTAACATTTAACTTGTAGTGTTTATTAACCTTATACATCTCATGGAGTTTTTTATTCATTCTGAGTAATGGAAAAATAGTACTGTTACAAAAGGGAAGCAAATAAATGCACTAATAGCAATTTAATTAATAATTTATAGTTTAAAAGGTAAATTTTGATTTAAAACAAAAAAACCCTACAGTATGTTGACATGTTTCAGAATGTCATCTACCCAGTTGACCAAAGCAGTCCATAGAGATAGAGGATGCTGATCAGTTTGCTTTCTTAAAGGTTTTTGAAAGCCTCCTTGAACTTTCTTCAACACTTCTTGGAAAAAGTATTTTCTTATTTTCCTTTCAAATATAGCAGGTTTTGGTTTTTTTCATAGAGAGTGTGACTGCTACAACTGATTCTGGCATTCCTTCATTGCCTACTTCAAAGCAGGAGCTGGATGCAACAGAGGAATTTGGACCAAAGTTGCCACCAGCTTTTTCTTCTGGTAGGTTCTGTAAGCATCTAGAGTGTAAATTCTGCACATTGAAATTGTATATAAAATACATGATATCTCTCTTTAAAAAAATCATTTGTGAATAGGCATCTATCCCTTAAATGTGTGTTATGTAAACAGGCATCACAAATGTTTTGTTGCCATGCTATGAGCCACCAACAGGAACCTCTTTGCTTGTGTACCAGGTTTGTTTTAACTACAGAGGTAGTGATAAAAAATGGATGTGAAAATAGAGGACAGCCTTGCAATTTCATTTTTTAAGAGATTGCAAAGGCATGTAATTACAATAGGGATGTTGCAGATAGGAGTTTTAGACACAAAATTTCCTTTTTAAAGTTGGGGTTGTGTTTGTTTACTATCATATTAGGTTAAATGTAATGCAGAATGTAATAACCAAATTACCCTATTTTTGTTGGCCTTTTTTTTAATCTTTTTGCATTTGCTTTGTACTTTAGGTACTACTTGGCAACAACAAACAGAGGTGCCAGCAACCTTTCCTGGGCCTAGCAGGAAAGAAAAGCATAGGAAAATCAGAGAGAGGCACAAGACTAAGAAAGAACGCAAACGCAAAAAGGAAAAGGTAATAAATTTAAATACTGATTTTTGATTTATTGATTCTTTGATCTGCCTTTCAAAATATTTTATTATTTATGCTTGGTTGTAGAAGAAATATATACTGAGACTAGAATTTAAGCAACAGAATTTTGTTGATGTTTTGAAACCTGAAAATTATCCTGCTCTGATGCTGCTTTTTCCATATGCACATATGTGACTACAGGTGCAATATTGTGGGGTAGTTCCATGTTCTGTGTGGAAGATCTCAGACACATTCTGGGAATTGTATTCATGCCTTATATTCAAATAACTGTCATGAAACATCTGCTTTAGGGAGAGTTGAGTGCTTGGATTAATTTAATTTTGGCTTATAATTTTTTTAAGCTTGGTCTGAGTACTGGAAAAGAGTCATGGATGGGTGTTCTGTTTCAGTTATGCTTTAAGTCCATACTGAAATTAACTTTTTTCTTTTGCTGACATTCAGAAAAATCCAAGTCTTTCACAAGGAGATAAAGGATTATTTCTGTTCTTTTTACAGAAAAAGAAGCATAAGAAGCAGAAAAACAAAGGAAAACACAAGAATAAAAAATCAGAAAAAGAGAGCAGCTCTGACACTACAGATAGCAGTGACAGCCTTAGTGATATGGATACCACAGGCTTGTCACCTAAAGAACTTCTTAGAAGGTAAGCAGGAGGGTTACTTAAACACTTGCAAATTTTACAGTCAATAATTAAAACATCAATTTATGAGTTGTCATTCTAGTGAACCCGTTTGCAGCAAATGTGAATAGGGCATTTCTTTATGATGATAAAATATTGCTCACTTTGGTGAGGAAAGAGTACAAATATTAGACATTTTAATCTAGAGGGTAATTAATTTTAGGATAGAAGCCTCTTAAGGGAAAGCCACTAAACACACAGGCCTAGCAGAGCTAATAGACATTATCATTCAAGATGACTGGTATTTTTGGAAGGTATTGAAAAAATATTGAAAATATTGAAGGTATCAAAAAAACCTACTACTTGGGTTTCTGAATAGCTGAAATATGTTTTTGTGCATTTTGCACAAACCAGATTTCTTTGTACATGCAGTTGTATTGGAATCTTCACATTTGCATGTCTCTTACCACTGAGAAAATGTTTTTGTATCTGATACAATTCAGATCTCTCTGCAAATAAGGTTTAAGAAACTACTCAGGTAGTGAAATGTTCCTAATATGGTGTGTGACTGTTGAGTGACCTTTTTCCTTTTTTTCCTCCCTTTCAGATTAAAACAGCTTCAGTATTGAAGAGCTCTCCTGCGTTCTTCAGTATTGTGTGACTTGATGTCAAATTTTTGATCTCCTCTGTGATGGTAGATCAGTGGTGTATAATGTGAAGCACTAGAGATACAGTATTCATATTGAATTTCTTTGAAAGTAAATGTGCATATGTTTATGATGTTTCATGAATTCAAAATGTATGGAATATAGAACATTGAAAAGACCCCTTTCTGTGCATAATAATCTGAAATACTGCTGGCTCTGTTTTATTTAATAAAACGAAGCATTTTAATAAACTTTGTTATTACAAACAAGTTTTGTATAGTGATAATTTGTTATGCCTCTAAAATGCTGGAGAGTAAGTTTCAGTCTGAGTTAAGTTAGGAAGTTAAAACTAAAGCAATGTAAAATTTTATTGGGTGCAATTATTTTTATTGAATGTAATGTAGAATTTCACATCACAGTTTTTGAGTATCCAGCTGTTATTTTTGCCTCTCCAAATTGTCTAGCATTTACTACAGCAGCCCTAAAGCAATAACCTTTGACAGAATCACAGAATATGCTGAGTTGGAAGGGACCTGTCAGAGTCATCAAGCCCAAGTCCTGGCCCTGCACAGTTCATTTCACATAAATTATCACAGCTAATGAGCTAAAAGATGATGTATGATTATAAACTGCCTCCTTTTACGTAGTTACAAAGAAAACTGTTCATGCTACTCCTTGTCTGCAGTTGTCATGTTGTGGAATAAATGAAATACGAGCCATGAAATAATAGTGAGGTGGTGGGGAGCAGCTCTGGGGCAGCTCGGAGCCCTGGCAGGAGCTGGGGAAGGGCAGCAGCCTGGGGGCTGGGCCCCTGCCCATGAGGAGGCAGGGAACTGCTGGCACTTGAGAGACTTTAAAGTTGGGGGTTTTTTGGGTTTTTTGATGTTGGTTTTTTTTTTTTTTTTTTTTTTGCTAATGAGCTAAAAGATGATGTATGACTATAAACTGCCTCCTTTTACGTAGTTACAAAGAAAACTGTTCATGCTACTCCTTGTCTGCAGTTGTCATGTTGTGGAATAAATGAAATATGAGCCATGAAATAATAGTGAGGTGGTGGGGAGCAGCTCTGGGGCAGCTCGGAGCCCTGGCAGGAGCTGGGGAAGGGCAGCAGCCTGGGGGCTGGGCCCCTGCCCATGAGGAGGCAGGGAACTGCTGGCACTTGAGAGACTTCATGAGATTTAAAGTTGGGGGTTTTTTGATGTTGGTTTTTTTTTTTTTTTGTTTTTTTTTTTTTTTTTTTTTTGAGACAAGAATTTGAAAACAAATATCCAGAAAAATAAAAGCACAGTCCCCATCCATCAGCATTTTTTCTTCTCAACCTTTTTCTTCTTTACTCAGATTGAGTAAATGTGCTCCAAGGCAGTATCAAGGATGTGAGCTTTGGTGTCAGGTGGAACTCGGGATCCATTCTCCTGTGGTTGCTGCTTTCATGCTCCCCCTCGTGGGCTAAACTCGGGTTGTGTGAACCCCTGAGTGCTGTGCAAGCAACTCTGTGCTAAGCAGATTGCAGGCATTGACATCTGCATGCATTAAACAGCCAGAACTTAATCTAAGAATGGGCAATGAGTAGTAGTGCATTAATGTCATCTTAATTGAGATGAAATAATTCAATGAAGTATCTGAAATGTTGATTTCCTGCTGTGCAGTGCTAGGTTGCTACCATAACCAGAAGGTTTTTCAGGCATACTGAAAAGGCCCAAGAAGCCCAAAAGCACAAAAAAAGTGCATTATGTTAGCCAAGAGCTGTGTGGATGGCTAGCTCAGAGAAACCAGGAAATGTAGAAGGCAAAGTCACATCTTTTAATGATGAGTAAATAAATACATGGCAACTGTAAGCAGATACTGTAGATTGGAGATTTAAAAATAAGTGTCTCAGTGTGTTAGTGTACACACATGTACAGTTTAATAACTTTCCTGCTTTGTCTGAACTCAGAACTGGAACTTTTATTTTTCTATCTTCAGCAAAATGCTATTCAGCTCTCTTAAGTGTAAGAAAACTGAAATCAACCCAGAACTCTAACCCAGAAAACAAGAAGATAATCCATCAATTTTTAAAAAGTATAATAGATCCTTGAATGTTCTTTTTGCTGAAAAGGCTATAATGTGCCACTTGTCTGAAGTGTCTAACTTCTGTTTAAGAAATTTTACCTAATTTTTAGTTAAGGAAGTTTTCTTTAACACTTGTTGAGCAATACTTATTTTTCAGAATCTATCTAAAAATATTTCCCTGAGTATTGGGAACTTTCTGACAGCAATGTATAGGCAAGATTATGTGATACTAAGACAAGCCTAATTTCTTCCCCTGCAGGAAGAGCTGAAGCAATTAGAATTCAGGAGAGTATGGTGGATTTGGTTCGTGGGGGACTAGGTCAGCCCAGACAATTTTCACTCTGGCATTCTCTTTTTTCCCCTTTGAAAGAGTAGATACCAAATGACTGGCTGTACTGAGAAAGCATTTGAAGTTCTTCTTGACAACAAACAGTATCTCTGTGAAGTGGCAGTGCACACATCTTTTGGAAAACAAAGATTAATTGTGCATGCAGCAGACAAAGACTGGGTAAGTCTGGAAGGGCAGTTCTGACTGCAAGACTTTTTTGCCTCGATAGAATAAGAACACACAGTAGCTTTGATCTTTTTTTTTTCTTTGATCTTAGAGACATTCCTAATCATTCTGTGTCAGTACATTGACACACACTGAGAAAATAAGTGAAAAAATGAAAAATTAATTTACTTTCAAGTTTTGCCTGTTATCAAGGGCTGCCAAGTTAGCAGGATAGCTCCTTCCAGTGAAAGCCCTTGTGAGGGAGCAGCTCTAGATCTGACACTTGGTGTCACAAAGGGCAGTTACAGTCAGACATACAAGATTTTATTCCCATATTGAAGACAAATAAAAGAGCACATCATGAAGGGAGTTTATGTTGCCTACTTTCTGACTGATTCTGAAATTTCTTTGTACGTACACAAACAAAAATGTGATTGTAGAAATTAGGTTAATCATGGAAACAGAAGATGGTTTGTTTATCTAGGTGAAGGTATTATGATACTCTGGTATGTATCACAGAGTATATTTCCTGATACATACATACTCTGGGTATCTGGAAATGTGAATTACACTGCATGTCAGCAGTCCTCATGGGTTTTTGTGGTGAATGCTTGCAGTCAGGTGGGCACCATAATCCATCTGTAAATTTTGATCTGTATTTTTATTTGTTTTACTAAAAAACTTCATAGAAACAGAATTGTTTGGGTTGGAAGGAGCCTTAAAGATCATCCAGTTCCAACCCCTGCCATGGGCAGGGACACCTTCCACTGTCCCAGGCTGCTCCAAGCCCAGTCCAGCCTGACCCTGGACACTTCCAGGGATGGAGCAGCCACAGCTTCTCTGGGCCACCTCACCAGCCTCACAGCAGAGAACCTCCTCCTAATACCAATCTAAACCTACCTTCTTGTAGTTTGAAGCCATTTCCCCTTTTCCTGTCACGTCAGGCCCTTGTCAATAGTCTCTCTCCATCTTTCTTGCAAGCTCCCTCCAGGAACTGGAAAGGCCCAACGAGGTCACCCCAAAGCTTCTCTGGGCTGAACAATCTCAATTATCTCAGTCCTTCCACAAAACAGAGCTGCCCCAGCCCTCTCATCATCTTGGTGGCCTCCTCTGGACCCCATCCACCACCTTCCTGCCTTTCCTGTGCTGAGGAGCCCAGAGCTGGAGGAGTGCTCCAGCTGGGATCTCACCAGAGCTGAGTAGAGGGGCAGGATCACCTTCCTTGACCTGCTGGCCACGCTTCTTTTGATGCTTTACTTCAAAGCTTTATTTATGGTTAGGGCTGATTATGTTTGGAGAGTCCCACAGGTACAACAGGAAGACAGCCCTTTTCCTGAAATCACTTAGATTGATCATTTGTGTGTATCAGGGTAAGTAGATAGCAGGTGATGGAGAAGTACCACGGCCTCAGGTTTCCCCGTGGGAGGCTTAATTTGGATATTTGAAAAAAATTCTTCATACAGACTTGTTTGCAATGGGCTGCCCAGGGCAGTGGTGGTGTCATCATCCCCAGAGGGCTCTAAAGGGAGGGACTGTAAATGTGGCACTGAGATGAGCTTTAGTGGGGGACCTGGCAGCAGTGGGTTATTGGTTGAACTTCATCACCTTAGAGGTCTTTTCCAACCAAAATGATTCTGTGATAAATGAGCCAGTAATTCAGTGTGGGTCATCATCTCAGCACTTCAGCAGTCTGTGCATTGCTGCTGAATCAAAACAAAATGACATTTAAGTGGTGACGCCTTAAGTTTTAGCTTTTGTGTTTTCTCAGATCCTGCACTGCATTAGAGTATAACTCTGCATATAAAGTGTTAGTAAGCTCTCATTTCACATTTTGGTCAGACTAAACAATCCTTCCAAGCCTGAGAACCAAGGTCAACAAAGCCTCAGGCATGAAAAGTATAAATGTAAGTGAAGTGGGGGGAAAGCAAACTGGGGGAATGTGACTTCATTACTTCATTACCTGAAGCTATAATTGGACAATTAACCTCTGATATGTAAATAGACCAAACTTAAACCTGTCTGAGAAACTCATGACCATGGTCCATGTTGGGTGCAGTCTGCAAGGCTTTTGCAGTGCCCAAGGTGTATCCATTGAAGGTGGAAGGAATGAGGGACTTGTCTTTACAAACCAACCGTGGGTCTGCTGGTAAACAGAGCGAGATACTGACAGATAAACAATGGGAAGGATTCCACTGATTGAAAATTAAGAATGAGAGATGGAATGAGAGATTTGTCTTTACAAACAATGGGAAGAACCATCAATTCCATAAGGAATTCCACTAATTGACACAAGGAAAAGACAAATATGTACCTTTGTGAAGTACCTCAGCCAATGGGGAAAGAGGAAAATGTGGCCGGAAAATTAGGATAAGAAGGAGGCTGCGTCCTAAGATCTGAGAGATCCCAGGGGAAATGCCCCATAGCCTCTCCCTTTATTTGAACAAAGTCACAGGACTCCTCTGTCTCCTTTTTGGACATAAACCTCTGGTATTTGTGGATTAATTTTCCTGTCAAAGGCCTTTAATAAATACCTGCTTTTTCTTTTAACTCTGTCTAGCCTCTGTTCTAGGTAGCCACTCCAAGGCATCATTGGGATTTTCTATTATGAGAGAAATTTCCAGTTATTAATAGATAAATCCTTCAGAACATGAAGGACAGCAAAGGGAACCCCATAAATTTTGAAAATGTAACAGTGACAAAGGCTGCCTATCAGGTTCAGACAAAGAA